AAGAGTGTTAAAAGTTTTTCCTTCTATTAGAGGTTTTCACATCATTTAATACTCACCAATTTGTTTTAATTTATATAAAAATATGATTAATTTAATAAAAAAAGTAGAAGAATTAATTTGATTTAAAAAATATGAATTATTTAATTTAGGAAAACTCACTATCATATACAATAATACTCAATTAATTTATAATTTATATTAATCGGTTAGGATGAAATCAAATGTATTAGTACTTCATGTTTTGATAAATTTTGTTTTAAATTGTTATTTTCTTTTAATTAGTTTTAATTAAAAATTCTTTGTTTTTATTATTCAAATAATTCTAGAATTAATTAATTTTAATACTTAATTAATTATAATTTTTGTGAGAATGATATTATATTTATCACTTTGTTATTTAAGCGAATGGTGTACTTGTTAATAATTTTAACACATAATTAGTAGTTATTTTAGAATTTTTTTCTCATTATGGCTGTTGCATGGTAACTTTAATATGATTTGTTTATTCAGCTAAATGTTGTTGATTTCTATGTTACTACAAAGAAATCTAATGATATTTTGGGTTTATGAATATTGTTTCTTGAGTAGTGAATATACTTAACAATTACAAATCCAAAAAAACAAGAGGCCCAATAGTTCAAGAACTTGAAATCTCATTACCATCACTTAACACATACACATTCAAAACTCACTCAAAAATAATAAAATAATTGAGAAGTCGGTGACTCCGTAGTGTATAAATACACACACAAATTTAATCATGTGATCAGGACAATCAAGTCAAGCGATCTACATTTTAGGAGGGAATAGATCATTTTATCTCAATCTAGCTAGTCTATCCATATGAAGAGAAATTAACTTACTTGAAGCCACAGACCACTACACACACACACACACACACAAAAGAAGAAGAAGACTATGTGCCTGCTCAACGGGGACCTGCAAAAGCTTCTTAGTCACGGCCAATGAAGTGCATCTCTTGGCCTATCCCTCTACAAATTATGCTTTCATCGCTCTCTGAGGAGGCAGTGCTCGACGTGGGATACCTGCTAAATTCTTACTAATTAGGGGTCATGCTTCTTAATTAGCTTGTTCTTCCACAAATTATGCTCACATCAAGATGCAATATTTCATGGAGAGATTGTATAAATAATGAATTGAAATAGGATAGATGCATGCTGAAAGCAAAATCTACCTTTCACATATGATCTTCACAGATAAATTTTGGAAAGAAAAGAAAAGAAAAGAAAAAGATCATAAACAACCAGAGATTCACATCTGAGTTTCACATCTCTGAGTGTCAAAGTTGATACTTTCATAGGATTTACATTAATCGGAGTCAACATTTTAAGGAGAAGGGACATGGTACAATTAATCTAATACTCAGTACTCAAAATGAATGACCTTTTCCCACGCTATTTGCTCTACTCTCTCAAAAGCTGAAAGTTGCAGTGCATTTTATTCATGCAGATTTAATTAACATATCCTACAGTACATTGCTATTGCTCTGAACTTGACTGAAATAACAAAACAGACACACAGAAAAGGGGAAAAAGAAACAGAAAATGAAATACAGGGAATTCCGGCAGCAATATTCATCTTCTTTTAATCTTCCTACTCAATGTTTCAATTCCTCTCCTCCTACCTTGCCTGACTCGAAAAGTCTTCATAAACCATTTGTGTCTTTTTGCCTGTACTCTTCAAAATAAAAATATAAATAATTGAAATTATATATATATAATATATAAGATTTATATGTAAATAAATTTTTTTTATATACTAATATCTTAAACATTTTAATTAATTATAAACTTACCAAATTAATCAAATTTAAAATATTTACCGTGGACTTAACAAATATTAGGATAGTCATAACTATTGCCTTTCTCCAATGGTTCTTTTAACTGTTCAGGTTTTCTCAATTTAATTTAACCGAAGATAAGCCATATACGTCAATCATGTTCGTGACCCATTACTTAGTAGTGTAGCACCTAGATCTTTACTTTGAATCTGACTACTTACATTAATCTCCCATCCCATAATATTTAATTGTATTGTAATTGTCACAAGATCCATTGGGTAGAATGGAGGAGATTGACGAGACCAAAGAGGGAAGGGGGTTTGGGCTTTCGGTCGCTTCACGAGTTTAATATGGCCATGCTAGCCAAGCAGGGTTGGAGATTGATGAGAGAGCCAAACTCGCTAGCTGCTAGAGTTTTAAAGGCAAAATACTTTCGTAGAACTGACTTTCTACATTCAAGAGAAGCATATAGTGCTAGCCTGACATGGAAGGGCATCTGGGAGGCAAGATATATCCTTCAAGCAGGTTGTCGTAGGCGTATCGGAAATGGTAGAAGCACTAGGGTGTGGGAAGACCCATGGCTTCCTGGTTCATCATGCTTTAATGTTGTGACTCCTAGAGCAAATGGGTGTGAGGTGGAATGGGTTTCAGAATTGATTGATGATGTTACGCATAGCTGGAGGAGGGAATTAGTGTATCAACTCTTTTCAGAGTATGAGGCACAGTTAGTTTTGTCTATCCCACTTAGCTGGAGAAGTTTGGAGGATGATTGGGTTTGGCAGCATACAAGAGAGGGGTGTTACTCGGTGAAATCAGGTTATCATGTGGCCTGTCACTCTCATCAGAATCCTCAGCAACCATCCTCCTCTGCAGGCGAGTTTCGAGGACAGATTTTGTGGAGGTTGGAGCTACCGGAGAGGATTAAAGTTTTCCTGTGGAGTGCTTATAGGGATATACTCCCAACAAAGGAAAACTTACGTAAGAGACGGGTGGACATTGATAACTATTGTCCAGTTTGTGGAGAGATGGCTGAAACAGGGGTGCATGTTCTGAAGGATTGCCAATTTGCACGAGCTGTATGGTTGGGGAGTCAGTTAAACCTTCGTGTGGCGGATATGCAAGTGGATAGTTTCGCTGAATTTTTTGACACAGTTGCTCTCACAGTTGACCAGAGGAAGCTTGCGTTGTTTGGGGTAGTCTGCTGGTCTCTGTGGAACAATCGCAATGATATATTATGGGAGAGTAAGAGGCAACAACCACAGCACGTTTGCGAGATGGCAGTTCGTTTTCTGCAAGAGTACGGTGAAGCTGTAAGACACAAATGTGGGACGCGTGGAGGACCAAGGAGAGGGGAGATTAAGTGGGAACCACCAGATGAATCACATTTTAAGGTGAATGTGGATGGGGCTTTGTTCCAGAACTCCAAGGAATTTGGTGTTGGAGCGGTGGTGCGTGATTGTAATGGGGAGGTAATTGCAGCTATGTCATGCCGTCGACAAGGGACTCTCCGAGTTGAGGCGGTGGAGGCCTATGGCCTGCGTGGAGCGTTGCAGTGGGCTTACGAACTGGGCTTAAGGAAGATTATTGTTGAGTGTGATTGTGCGGTTGTCGTACAGTGGTTGGGGTCTCAACATGCAGTGTTGTTATCAGAGTTAGGGGGAGTGTTGGCAGACTGTAAAGGCTTGATGGATAGATTTAACGAATGTCGAGTGCAACATGTTCGAAGGGCAGGGAATCAAGTGGCTCACGAATTGGCACGCAGAGCTGAATATATTGCAGGAGACGAGTTTTGGGTTGAAGAGGTTCCTGATCCAATCAAGGCTTTTGTACTAAATGATATGGCTTAGTCTGTATGGAGTACACCTTCCTCATTTTTGAGGCATGAAATAATATTCAATAGTATTGACCATCAAAAAAAAAATTGTATTGTAATTGTCTTATTAAAAAGAAATAATGATAGACGTACTCACAGTTTCGACTGTTTTAGTTAGATGCACTTAAACTCATCGCTTCAATCAGAATTTAAAACTGCAGTGTACAATTCTTTTTTTTCTTCCCCTCACATTCCCTCCTCTTCACAAAATAATAATAATAATAATGGTAGGCTATACACCTTTTTTTTTTATTTTTTTGGATCTTGATAGACTATGCACTTTTAAATTAGAAAATTTATGAATAATTACTACGAATCGAACGTTCTTCAGTCAACAAGGTGGGAGTAGAGAGTGTCCTCTCATGTTGTAAAGGACTCTC